AAAACTGATCAAAGACCCTCAGTCCAGTCTGTAAACTGGTTTTATTGTTGTCATGTAGTTGGAAACATTTTGGGTCCCGGGCTAGAAAAACCCGACACATTACGTGTGGCATGAAGTAAATAAATAAAATAAAAAAGGCTGAAGAGAGGGAGCAAAATCAGATGCAAATGGTGTCTCACTGTACGGTAAGAATATTTATTTTTCTGTGTGTAACCTTCTGACTGATGCTGGTTGAGTTGTGGCCGGAGCGCAGCAGCTGTGCTTCAGGTAGATTCTCGTGCCAGGTGTGCACCCTCACCAGCTGGGAAGGTGTTCATATGTGTCAACTTGTTTGGACATTTACCGTCTGATGAGCCTCAAAAATCTATGTTTTTTACTAAAAATACGTAGACTACCACTGGTAACCGTGCGTGGGGGTGGGGTGGGGTCTGTCTGTGGAGATGACAGCGCTGCTGTAACTCAGGAGGAAAGGAGAGAGGAAAAACTGGATAACGGGATGTTTTTTTTTTTGTTGTTGTTGTTTTTTGTTTTGTTTTTTAACATCCGTTCAACACCATGTTAAACTAAATAGACAACTAACCAGCTTCAACATCACATGCAGGAGATGTCTGTAAATTTCAGGARAATCTCAGRCTTTGRTTATCCTGTGTGAATGCACCACATAAAACAATGWYACCCCACTCCTTATTCAGACAGTTTTCTCCCTCATTCTCCATTTAATGTATAATTTTCCTGCATCTAAACTCATGTCTGATCCCACAGAGAGACAATCTGAGGAGAATCTCTCACTCTGGACACATTTACATCTATTTTACAGATTTAAATGGAGGTGTGTCAGGGGGAGGAGCCTCAGCTCCACCTTCATTAGGATGTATGAAGGAAATGTGTGCAGGAACCTGTGTGTGCACAGTTTTATATATCTGAATATTTTGGTGCGGTGCACATTTCTAAATTTGTCCGTACGTCAACTTTTAGTGTGAAAGCTGAAGGCCCAGGTTTGGGAAAAAAGAAAGTGGGTAAAAGGAAAGAAATGGTTCCTGAGGTTACTGCCCAATCCAAAAGACATGAAAATTGTCTTAATTGGAGTCTGTAAGTTAAATAAAAACAACTTCTCATTGTTTAAAAAAAAGCCACATCATCATCACTGTCAGTCATAAACCTAAGTGTGTATCTTTTAGGTTGATAGTTGTACAGAGCTGTGTTTGCCTCAGGGCTGGTTATGGTGCTGCACCTACAACACAAACACTGATCCACAGTAGGACAGGCAGGGTGAAATCTGGACGTGTTTCTACAGCTGGAGGCAGGTTTTTACAGCGTGTTGCAGGCGTCAAATTCAAAATAAATGTTTGAAAAATACATCCATTATCTATACCTGTCTATTCCTTTTCCAGCAGTCACAGTGTGAGGGGCGGGGTACACCCTGGACTTGTCTCAGTCCGTCACAGATTTTGAAAAAAAAGGGGGAAAATGTGTGTCACATTTTTTTTTTTGTTTGTTTGAAAAATGACAAAAGTTTATTTGTTTTGAACACTAAATATCTTGTGTTAGTAGTTGTAGTGTAATCAGTTGAATAAAGGTTKAAAAGGATTTTCAAATGATCATATTCTGTTTTTATGTTTTACACAATGTCTCATCTACTTTGGAGTTGTGTTGTGAATAAATAGACACATATGGATGTTGTTAGCACAGGACATGTTACTGTTATAGATTCAGTGTAAAGAGAGAAGTCGACACTTGGACAACAGAAAGAGCTCCTCTGACTGTCTGAACACCAACTGAACATTGTCTTCATTAGATGGTATTTGAACAAACCCTTTGTGGCTGTGTGCAGTGGTGTCCTCCATGTCGAGCTTTACTGCCTGAACTGAGAAAAGCATCGATCCAGTTAGCTGGACAGATCAGGTTTGGTACTCTGGACTGTACTATTCATCAGAACCTGTGCTCCTTGGTAAGACTGGCATCTCTGGATGAGACAGTTGATTGTAAGATGACCCTTCAGACACTCACCTGTGCTCCTCTGTGTGTGTCTCAGTACAACATTCAGGCTTATCCCACCACCGTCATATTCAACGGCTCTTCTGTTCACGAGTATGAAGGACATCAGTCAGCTGATGGCATCCTGGACTTCATACAGGTACATCTGAAGCAGCCCASTCCCAAACCTTCATCCAAATCTTCTCTTGGCCTCTGTGTTGGTCCAGGATTGTGTAGGATGTGAGTTGTGTAGTGTTCACAAGTTTGTCTGTTTTTTGCAGGATCTGGTCAATCCGTCCGTGGTGGTCCTCGATCCGTCCAGCTTCACAGAAAAAGTCAAAGGTAAAAATGTCCCTGAAAATGTCAGGGACCCCATCTCTCACACAAAAATAACCGTTGGAGTTTGTAGAGTCTACTGTAACCTGTTAGTTAACAAATGTAATGTTTTGCTGAAACGTTTCAGAAAAACAATATTACGTTGTAGTATTTGTAGTTTTAGTACTTATCTGAAGATCTGTTTCTCTCTGTCAACAGCTTTAAAATAAAAAGAACCCATATAAAAATCAATATGAACAGAGCATCCTGTGATCACATGATTTATATTCTCTGTAAACGTTCTAAACCAGGGCTTCTTAACCTTTTTGACCTCAGGGCCCAGTTTATTGAACATAAAGTGACACGAGGTCCAGTCACACATTATTAATG